ATACTCTCTGAGGACCAGTCAGTCTCATTCTTCATAAGATATGTTCTAAACCCGTTTCAACTAGAGTGGTCAATGTTTGAATTTAAGGGAGTAGTCGACGTAATCTTAANCCGTGATGCTTCTCCTTTCTACATGTTTCAAAGGTTATAATTATTTTACTTTTCTTTAAATCAATCGGTTCGTACCGTAAATTGATTGAATTATAATACTATTAGTGATAGACTTTTGCGTTATACGGGATTTATATACCCTCCACATCTCGCTCCTCCTCCCTCGCCTTTCTCATCTCTCCTATCCCATCACGTGAAAAGTTAAAAAGTATAAAAAAAAATCGTATGGGATGAAAGCTAATTTTCTAAGAAGAGTTAAATGAGCAGAGGTTCATGAGAGAGTGAAATTGCATTTATATGGACACATGTCAGATTTTGTTTGGATAAAAATTGATTGTATAAAAAAAAAATATATAGAATTAGAAAGAAACGATTTTCTAAATTCTCTCTTCCATAATATTAGCATTGTATATAAATAGTGACATAATGACTCATATAAAGAAAAGCAATAATCATGTAGATGTAGATGCCAAATGAATGGCCTTTAAAGGGGGAGGCCTTCCCATTTGCTGTCACAATTCCACTAGAGAATAGGGTCAAATCTTTTAAATTTTTTTTATAATTTGTATGGTGGGTGTTTTGTGGAGTTCCTAACATTATCATGCCTTTCATGACTCTCCCAACCCCCCACTACTTCTTGGTAGATTTAGATTCTCAAGGGATAGCATAAAGGTCTGTTTTTTTTTCTCACAAGAAATGGGCTTCTTCATAAGAGGCATGCTTGGTCTCCTTACATGTACCACTTTTGTGATAAACTTTTGACAATTTCACATGGGACTAAACTCTCTCTCTCACTCACACACACATATTTGAACTTCATTTTCTGAAGTTCTTTCTTCCCATCTCATGTGGAGTGACATAAACATGTGAGTGTTAGATCTAGATTTTCTCAATTTAGAAGTTTGTCAATTTTGTCAAATTCAATCATCGTTCATTAAGTTTGCTCAGTCCTCCAAGTAAGTTTTTGTATGGATCTCCTTGACATCCAATGAGCCTTAATAAATTTAGTGTTGGACAATTAAATTTGATTTTATTTGGAAAAATTTACAATTTAGAGTGACCAGTACTTTTTTTTTTTTTTTTTATAATTGACAAATCATCCTAGATTAATGGAGATATTTTTATATTTAGCGGGCCTCATTTAAATTCATGGTGAATGATCTACTATTAATCCAATTTTTGAGAAAGAGAGTGTACCAACTACAATTTATAGATGTTGTGAATTATTGACTACCTGAAATTACCTTGTTACATAATGAAAATTTTGGCCTAATCACATCAACCTTATGATTGCCTTTAAGAAAATGTTTTTTGAACTTGATTTGCTGATTTATTACATCACAACTAATAGTAGGGTTCACTGTAAATCTAATGACAGCGATTCAACACTTTCTATACTCTCTGAGGACCAGTCAGTCTCATTCTTCATAAGATATGTTCTAAACCCGTTTCAACTAGAGTGGTCAATGTTTGAATTTAAGGGAGTAGTCGGCGTAATCTTAATTACCTTGTAAAAAAAAAATCAAGGGAAATACACTTTCATTAAGTTGTGCTTAGTAATAGATCAATTACCCTATGTTGGTAAAGGACCTATTTATATATACTAAATTTTACTACTCGTGTTTGGTGATACCAGAGAAAATTTGAGGAGTTCAAAATTCATTAAAAAGAAAGTCCACAAGAAGTAAATTTCCCCAATTCTCTCAATATTAAAAGATTCAAAGTGCACAAGTGGGGGTCCCATGTAGATACCCTCATACATTCACGACAGATGATAAAACATTTGAGAGACTTGAGAAAATTTTAAAAAATCGATATAAAACGTGTGTGGTTTCAACCTCTAGTGGGTCTATCTGACTCCTTCCATACCCAATTGGTGGGCTAGGAGTCTTTCATATAAAATGGGCCCTAGTAATCCAACTTTTGTAAACTAAAATCTGTCACAAGGATCAAAAACCCTTGCAAGTGATATGAAAAATTCTCTACCCACTTACAAAGCGGATTGTCCACTCACCCTTTGTCTATTCATGGGGCCATAAAGCGGGGAAGTTGGTAACTTCAAGGTCTTCAAATCCCTCTCTCTCTCTCTCTCTCTAATATTACCTATTCTTGGCATGTATCCCTGAATCTCATGCATCGGACGAAATTAATAGGATTACCCCTAGAAGATAAGATTTCATTATTGGAATTTGACTCAAACTCCCTAGTTATCATGAATGAAAGTTTGTTAGATAATCAATGTGAGAATCTTATATAAAATAGGATTATATTAGAAGAGTTTTAATATACCATAAATAGGTTTGCTAGACATGTGATAGGAAAAATAAATATCAAGTTGTATTTAAATAGGTTTGAATTATAGTATTTTATCCCTATAAATAGGGTTGACTACTATATAATCAGTTACTAAATGACCAAATTTCAGTTAATAATATATCGATATAGATTCTTGATCCGTGGATGTAGGTACGGTATACCAAAGTAGGTATGCTGTATCGAATGTGTCATGTTTTTATTGTTTTCCTATCTTTGAATTCCTATCTTCCAACAAATATTATTTGCGTTAATTATCTATTGTGCAATATTCATGGCTTACATTTTTATAAAGTAACGTCCTGATCAACCTGTCTATCTCTGGTACCTCTTTCAAGCACTTAAAACAACAACATTGTTATTGAAACCTTGCTATGAGCTTTACACCAACACCCACAAAAACATACATTTTTGAATAATTTGAAGTAAGCCATGCCTTTTTTCGGAGAATCCTGGCAATAAGATAAGAGTGATGGAACAGTGATGAAAAGCATTGGTGCAGAGATAAATGGAGGCAGTAAGTTAGTGATGTTTTGTGATCATGTTCTTTTCGGCATCTTTTTCCCTACTCCCCTAATTTTTATTTTCATTTGTATTTGTGCTCATTCTCTCTTTCATCAATTAGGTCAAAAAGGTCTTTCGAATAGACCAAAATGAAGTGGGTGGGGCCCTATTGGAATTTTGTTATGGACCATTTTCAAGAGTAGGATGAATGGGGCTTTGAGTGGGAATATAATGTTCCACTTGCTTACTGAATTATGAACCATTGAACATGCATGCGACATCCACGGACATTCATCCAAGTGCAGTCCCTAATGGAAAAGTACAAATCACTCACGAAGGGTTGGTTCAATAATCGATCAAGGGACAAGGTATAAGCTCTTTCCGAGTTCGATTCTCACAAGATGCATAAAACTAGAGTTTTTGTAGGTGATTGTAGTTTTTCGTTATAGTCACGAGTCTAAAAGATGTATGCTTGAAATCATTTCCGTTCTCCGAAAAAAGAAAAAAGAGTAAAGTATCAGACAAACAATGAATATAAGTAACAGGATAAAACAAGCGGTCCAATATCCTAGTGTATTCTTTAGTGCTCTGTGGTCCTTATCTAGTTCCCTCAATTTTATGTCGTTTGAGCAGGTTCAAAATTCAACTTAAGAAAATGACATTGCCTGGTAGGCCCAATATAGGTTGGGCCGACTAAAAAATCCACCCGTGTAAGTACGGCCCGGTATACAGTGTTGAAATGGGCCGAGTAGAATGCCACATGAAGCTGAGATGGTAGATGGAATCAATTATCATATCACTTTCATTTTTCAATGTTATTCCATTTATATCGTTGTTTTCTAAGTTACTTCATCTAAAAAACAGTTTAAACTCACACATTTTATGTAAATAATGATAAATTGATAAACAAGTTAGAAATCACGATAAAAATAGTGTAAAGTTCAAAGAGAAAAATAAGACGGTAAAAAATTCATGGTGGAAGAGTGGGTTTGACCAAAAGACAAGGCAACTGAAGGAGAGTGTTTTTCTTTTAGAGTAGAATAGTGGCAAATCAACTCATTAACTAACAAATCATAGGATGGGATCGGGTTGCAAGCATATGAAAATTCGAACGAGTCCTACATCGATCTAATTCATTCTAGTGATCTTTGTTAGCTTTTAGAAGCATCCATGAAAGAGAGAAAGAAACCTTCGAGAGCTTAAGGCCATGAGGGCAATTACAGCAAATTATTATTATTCTCAACATATAAGACTGATCACATGTTTCATCTACTCATTTTGCTGTGCACTTTTAGTGAGGGAGTGGCATTGTTGGTCATTGTCAACTGTACGATTTACTAACGTAGAGCAATAAATAAGCCTATCTCAACCTGCAGTCCAGCTTGATTCCCCAAGTTTGAATCCTGCCCCTCTTTTGCCCGATTCATTATTGGGCAATGAGTTCACTTATCCAAGGTCTACGAATAAAATTGTGTGTGAGTGAGTGAGAGAGAGAGAGAGAGGAGTCATGCAATTGTAGAATAATATCAATCCTCAGACTTCCTTTTCTCAAGTTAAGCATTAAGAGATTCTCGAACATAATGGGCATCAGAACATCTGAATATCAATCATGTCCTAGATCCCAGAGTCATAACAGAGGATCATAGCATAATACTATCATTCCCCTTGTATTACTGACGATTAGAGACTCAATTTTATAAAACCAAGCCAATGCTGAACAAAATGTACTCCCAACAAATAGTCCGAGTGTAGAAAAGATAAATAATTTCAATCACTGATTACTGCTGAAATGGTGTTAAACTNAACTGACGATTAGAGACTCAATTTTATAAAACCAAGCCAATGCTGAACAAAATGTACTCCCAACAAATAGTCCAAGTGTAGAAAAGATAAATAATTTCAATCACTGATTACTGCTGAAATGGTGTTAAACTACTCTGTCACTGATTATCACCACCCTTTGTAACAGTTCCAAAATGTTGTAATAGCTAGTAAATTAAGCAAACATATAACTTCCAAACAAAAAGCTGGAGCACAACAAAAAAAGATTTACATCTGCAAAAGTGAGTTAGCTCAGGTTTCAACCATTGGTTCAGGACCAGATGACTCGGTCCGCAATCTGTTTGACTGATGAACAGAGTTAAATAGAATGTCCTTGATAACCTGACAGGAAGGATAGATGGGTGTCAGTCAGGTACAAAACAAAATCTGCTTATGATCACAAAATACTACTTAGGCTGGAGGGATTGCATGTCAATAAATAGAAGACAGCCATCACCTGTGACATCAAGCCATGAACCTGCTCAACAGTTATCTTTGCACTATCACGAGTAATCTTGGCAAGTTGAGATTCTTCCTGCAATTCATATAAAGTGAGCACCCACAGAAAACTTTCCAAGGACAGACATAGATGGAGACAGGAAAGAAGGGTAGGAAATAATGGAAGAAAGCAAAAGAAAGAGAGGGGGAAGGGCAACCATGAAAACTCAGGTAAAAAGGGCAAAATCAAAGAGCAAAGCTGTACAGCATTCGCATATTGCATCTTTAAACACATGCATACCTACGTGAAACTGAGCAATGATGGAGACTTACAGCATCAGAACATAATACAATAGTGGTACACAAAACAACAGCTATACTTATGCATGTATATTTCAAGCTAGACTCGGAACCAAAAGAACAGAAAAAAAAATGCTACACAAAAAATTGGGAGGCTGAGGGAACATATGCTCCATTAGCTTTGCTTAAAAAGGGAAGGATTACAAAAAGGGTGTGGCATCAAGGATTACAATCCATCAAGTGAAAAATTATGTTTCCCTTCTACTAACAACAAAATAAGTGGCAACATGAACAACAAATACACAGTTGATGGGAAAAGGAACATCTGAGCAGGGGTGGGCTTGGAACACCTCAAGGTTGGACCTAACAGAAAGAAAAAGTTAAGACTCACAGGCCAGTAGGCCACTCAACTTGCACCCCAACATGCAGAGCAAGGTATATTTCCAGGAAATAGTGCCAAATTAAAAGGACGCAATATCTGTAAATGCCATAAAATGAATGATTCTACACATCACATTCATCAGGGTATAAAATTTTCATGGAACAAGAAGATTGTCAGCTCAGATATCCTTTAAAGTCTGGAGTAGCTCACTAAATATAGGAGTAATCCTAATTGGCACTAAAAATCTTTGTCCAAGAACTTGTTCAGGTGTGAAGATCAGTTGATTTCCATAAATCATGTGTTATACCTTGATGCAAATGTATACAAAAGATGGCTGGCACTTCCAATAAGCAAAAGGCTAGTCAGTTTTAGGGGCCACAAATTGAGCACAGCCCTATGCTTGTCAAGAAGAACAAACAAGAAGCCCATTCTATGTAGAAGTTTCTGCATGCCCCAAGGAGAAAAAAGAAGGGAGGCACAGGGGATGGTGGAAGAGTCGATTGAGAGAGGCTACACATGCTCAAAAATTGTATTATCTATCTTATTGGCAAGCCAATATATGCTTAAACTAATCTTATTTCCGAGATACTAAGACTGCAATCACAGATGCATCCACTTAAAACAAAAAATGCATCCCGATGCCTTTAAGCTCTCCCAATGAAACTGAAACTGCCAAAAAAAGATGCAATCTGAGTAGGAACTCATGACCATGATTCCATGGCACATCTAATATGGGCATGTGCCAATACTGCACAACAAGTATTTTTTTATTTGAGCTATACATTCAGTCATTTGCAAATTTTTAGTGTTAACAATCACATTCCAATCATTATTTAAGCAACAGTTTGGGTAAAGTAGATAAAAATCAAATACCACAGATTGGGGTAAAATAGGTCCGTATATCTTTTTTCCCATAAACAATTCTATTATGATAACAAGAAAAAGGTGTTACAAAAAGCAAACTAAGGTGGACAAGTCATCCAACCCAATAATGCGGAACAACAAAATCATAAGAAACCAAGAACGTCATTGAAGACCAAAATTAGTATCCACTTGATTCTATCGAGCTCACTATAATGCTAAAAAGTGGAATGTTTTCAAAATTCTTACTCATGGATGCCCAAAAAGAAGCCAAGAAATGAAGCCAATCCTATAAGCAATCAACATCCTCCCGTTTATCTTCAAAAATTCTAGCATTTCTCTCCTTCCATAAAACCCAAATGATCAAAAAAGACACAATGCCAAAAGGACTTACCCTCTTCTATTCCTCCCAATCCCCTAAAATCTACGCAAAGCGTAGATGACATTGATCTTAGAGCCACCCAAGAAAGGTCAACAAAGTCAAACAACTTGTTTCATAGAGATAGGGCCAAAGTGTAATGCAAAAATAAATGATCCACTCTCGCACAATCAACTTTACACATAACATACCATTGTTGTAAAAGAAAAGTCACGGGTCTCCTCTTTTGAAGCACATCATTCGTATTGATCTTAACATTAGCAATTATCCATGTATAAATTTTCACATTTAAAGGCACTATAACCTTCCAAATCTTCCAAGATGATGGATATAATGGAATTGAAGAATAATCAATTAAAGGCTCAAAGTAAGATTTACAAGAAAATACTCTCGAAGGACCACAAATCCAAGCTTTTTTGTCCCAAGAGTTTTGCCACAAGGATACGTCATTATTGGGCATAGAAAGAAAGTAACTACTTTGATGGTTTGCCCATCAGTAAGATTTCTATGAAATCCAAAATCCCAAGAAAATGAAAGGAATATGTTACTAAAGAAGCAATGCACTTACTATGATCACAAACAATACAATACAACTGAGGAAAAAGACTATAAAAAAAATACTCCCCTAGCAAAAATCTTCTCAAAAACGAACTTTTAGCCCATCTCCCACAATAAACTTAAACCACTGAGAGAATCTAGGTAACCCCAAATAAATAAATTTTCATGGATTCTAGAATGTTCCTCTTTCAACCTCATTAGCATCTTATCCATTAACTTGTAAACTATATTTGCTTTTAATAACCGCACCCTGTAATGAACCTTGCTCTAAAGGAAACCTCCAAAGTGATTGTCCTACCAAAGCTACATTCTTTTAAACAAACATATCAACCAATAGACCACCATTAATCTTAAGACCTAGAAAAAATCTCCCAACTAATCAAGTGATCCTTTTTTCCTTCCCAACTTTGTGCTCATAAAAAATTCTTCATCATCCCTCCAATCATCCTTGCCACCAAAGAAGGCATTGAAATAATTGGAGATGCCAACCAATACAGATTGCACCAATATTGATCAACCACACTAGAAATGAAGTTTTTTTGTCACCTGTCTAACCTTTCTCCTATTCTCTTAATAATAGTATCCCAAAAAAATCATAGATATCGAACTTAAGATTTCTACAAAAGCCACCCTAAATTTCTACCCAACCATTCAATTTTGTCATGACTAAAGTTAACTGCCCCCCTCCCCCAAAAAAAAAACAAGAAAAGAAAAAGTGGGGTTGATAATCAAACTGAGCTTTTCAAGTTCGAACTGAGTCTTTTTACACTCGTTTTCTAAACGAATCAAAAAAATTGTTCAAGTTCGACTCATTTAAAACATGAGCCGAGCTTTAGTTGAGTCCTATCCAAACTAACCTTGAATAGCTCAGCTCAATTATCAACCCTAATCTTAAGATCCAAAATCATACTAAAAAAGTCAACATAAATAATGACTAAATTTGTCATCATCTCTTAAAGAAAACAAATTTGTCATCTGCAAACTGTAAATGAGACACTGATCTACCAAAGACAAAAATGCATCAACNAAAAATGTGTCATCTGCAAACTGTAAATGAGACACTGATCTACCAAAGACAAAAATGCATCAACCAAATTACATCTCACCGCCCTCTCTATTAATCTTCTCAATCCATCCATCATTTGAAGATGGAAGTGCTAAGCATCTCTATTTTCAGTACAGCTGTGTATGGTGGATTTGGGCTTAGCTTTGTTCTAAATCCACATGGTCATTTGTTTTCTTAAAATCAAATTTCAGTAAAATGTCCTCCTCTTTCTAGTTCTATAATCTTCTATTAGGTACAAAAGCAACATTCATAATCAGCCTTTAACAAAAGCCCACTCAAACCTCAAAATTTTTTCATTCAAACACTCCTTAATCCAAAATCAAGAGAACTTTAGCTCTCNTCTTTCTAGTTCTATAATCTTCTATTAGCTACAAAAGCAACATTCATAATCAGCCTTTAACAAAAGCCCACTCAAACTTCAAAATTTTTTCATTCAAACACTCCTTAATCCAAAATCAAGAGAACTTTAGCTCTCATTCTATACAAACTGGTCACTAAGCTAATAGGTCCAACCATATTTCATTCAACAAACACTTCTTTATTCAATAAACACCTCTTTTTTTTCACACNTAACATTAGCAATTATCCATGTATAAATTTTCACATTTAAAGGCACTATAACCTTCCAAATCTTCCAAGATGATGGATATAATGGAATTGAAGAATAATCAATTAANCAACATTAGCAATTATCCATGTATAAATTTTCACATTTAAAGGCACTAGAACCTTCCAAATCTTCCAAGATGATGGATATAATGGAATTGAAGAATAATCAATTAANATTTCATTCAACAAACACTTCTTTATTCAATAAACACCTCTTTTTTTTCACACTTTAAACTTTTGTTTAACAAACTCCTACTTTTAACCTCCCGAAACACCATTTTATTTCGCNAAATCCAAGCTTTTTTGTCCCAAGAGTTTTGCCACAAGGATACGTCATTATTGGGCATAGAAAGAAAGTAACTACTTTGATGGTTTGCCCATCAGTAAGATTTCTATGAAATCCAAAATCCCAAGAAAATGAAAGGAATATGTTACTAAAGANCCTTCATTCAACAAACACTTCTTTATTCAATAAACACCTCTTTTTTTTCACACTTCAAACTTTTGTTTAACAAACTCCTACTTTTAACCTCCCGAAACACCATTTTATTTCGCNTAATCCAAGCTTTTTTGTCCCAAGAGTTTTGCCACAAGGATACGTCATTATTGGGCATAGAAAGAAAGTAACTACTTTGATTGTTTGCCCATCAATAAGATTTCTATGAAATCCAAAATCCCAAGAAAATGAAAGGAATATGTTACTAAAGAAGCAATGCACTTACTATGATCACAAACAATACAATACAACTGAGGAAAAAGACTATCAAAAAAATACTCCCCTAGCAAAAATCTTCTCAAAAAACGAACTTTTAGCCCATCTCCCACAATAAACTTAAACCACTGAGAGAATCTAGGTAACCCCAAATAAATAAATTTTCATGGATTCTAGAATGTTCCTCTTTCAACCTCATTAGCATCTTATCCATTAACTTGTAAACTATATTTGCTTTTAATAACCGCACCCTGTAATGAACCTTGCTCTAAAGGAAACCTCCAAAGTGATTGTCCTACCAAAGCTACATTCTTTTAAACAAACATATCAACCAATAGACCACCATTAATCTTAAGACCTAGAAAAAATCTCCCAACTAATCAAGTGATCCTTTTTTCCTTCCCAACTTTGTGCTCATAAAAAATTCTTCATCATCCCTCCAATCATCCTTGCCACCAAAGAAGGCATTGAAATAATTGGAGATGCCAACCAATACAGATTGCACCAATATTGATCAACCACACTAGAAATGAAGTTTTTTTGTCACCTGTCTAACCTTTCTCCTATTCTCTTAATAATAGTATCCCAAAAAAATCATAGATATCGAACTTAAGATTTCTACAAAAGCCACCCTAAATTTCTACCCAACCACTCAATTTTGTCATGACTAAAGTTAACTGCCCCCCCTCCCCAAAAAAAAAAACAAGAAAAGAAAAAGTGGGGTTGATAATCAAACTGAGCTTTTCAAGTTCGAACTGAGTCTTTTTAGACTCGTTTTCTAAACGAATCAAAAAAATTGTTCAAGTTCGACTCATTTAAAACATGAGCCAAGCTTTAGTTGAGTCCTATCCAAACTAACCTTGAATAGCTCAGCTCAATTATCAACCCTAATCTTAAGATCCAAAATCATACTAAAAAAGTCAACATAAATAATGACTAAATTTGTCATCATCTCTTAAAGAAAACAAATTTGTCATCTGCAAACTGTAAATGAGACACTGATCTACCAAAGACAAAAATGCATCAACCAAATTACATCTCACCGCCCTCTCTATTAATCTTCTCAATCCATCCATCATTTGAAGATGGAAGTGCTAAGCATCTCTATTTTCAGTACAGCTGTGTATGGTGGATTTGGGCTTAGCTTTGTTCTAAATCCACATGGTCATTTGTTTTCTTAAAATCAAATTTCAGTAAAATGTCCTCCTCTTTCTAGTTCTATAATCTTCTATTAGCTACAAAAGCAACATTCATAATCAGCCTTTAACAAAAGCCCACTCAAACTTCAAAATTTTTTCATTCAAACACTCCTTAATCCAAAATCAAGAGAACTTTAGCTCTCATTCTATACAAACTGGTCACTAAGCTAATAGGTCCAACCATATTTCATTCAACAAACACTTCTTTATTCAATAAACACCTCTTTTTTTTCACACTTTAAACTTTTGTTTAACAAACTCCTACTTTTAACCTCCCGAAACACCATTTTATTTCGCACTTTTAACTTTTTATTTGACAAACTCCTATTTTTTCATAAACTTTTATATAACAATAATTTTTTCAAATTAGAAATTGAAATTGCATTGGCACTAGATTTACTACACATCTAAATCCAATAGTGCTGTGATAATAATTTTTTCAAATTACATATTGAAATTACATTGGGACTAGATTTACTACACATCTAAATTCAATAGTGCTATGATTTATGTCTTTTTAATTTTGAAATTGAACAGTTAAATACAAAATTTTTGGTAGCTCTTACATGTCATTTTTACTAAGTTTAATGTACTAGATATATTTCATCAACTGCGACATCACGACCGATGTGTATCAATACCCGCTGATAACCGATACCGCGACCTGCTTGATATTAGAACAAATATTTGGGTGATAGGGCCCTAGGCAAGCGCCTAGGGGTTGGGCCGGCCTTGCATCTATCGAGTTGTAGTCGTCTCAGTGTTCGCTAGTCCTTTTCATCTCTATTTTCAGCCATGTTTATTACTGATTCAGTGATTTTCGGTCTAGTAATAACTGGATTAGTGTTTTTTGCTGGTTGCGTGTTTTCAACCCTGTTAGTGTCAATTTAAGTGGTTTTCTGCATAGGTTTTTTTTTTCCTTATTTAGTGATTTTCAACTCAATTCAATGTTGGTTCAGTGTTTTTAGCTTGGTTTAGTATTTCTAATCCATTTAGCGTCAATTTAGTAGTTTTCGACCCATTTGTGCTTTTTTAGAGGTTTTTCTCCCAATTCAATGTTTGTAGGCTAGTTTAATCAGTGTTATTAAAAGCGCGCCTATGCAAAAAGAGAGTTTCAAGTAGGCGAAGCAAAGCTTTACCAAAGCGAAGATTAAGCATATAAGACGAACGCTTCTCGCTTAAGCAAAAAAGCGAAAAGTGAAGAGGGGAACACTTTAGTAAATTTTTTATTTGGCTTTCTGGATCCATTATTGGCCATTTGACCAATTGGACCAAAAATTGGATGTCCCATAACAGTCGATTGCCATTTAATCCATATATTTGTGTTAACCATAAAATTTCTTCTATAAAATAGATTGATCCATATATATGAATTAATTCTTCCTCAATGTTTTTCCTTGTGCTCCTCCCCTCCTCTTCTGCTATTGCTTCTTTTACTTCTAAAAAATGATTCACTGCAGAGACCAAGTGTGTGTACTTCTCTTTTTCTACTTCTTTTGTGATGAAGGTAAAGCTTTGCTTTTGTTGGCTTAATGATTCACTGTTGCTAGAGCTTTGATTTTGTTTTGGGTTTTTGCTCTTTTTCGGATATTTGATTTTGGCTTTTTTGCTACAAATGTTAGGATTTGGAATATTTTGTATTTTTTAATTTAAATGTTTATGTTTTGGTTGGCATTAAGATTTGATCTGTTATTGGTGTTTGTTGAATTTAAATGTTTATGCTTGGCTACCATAAAGATTTGAAAAATTATTAGTATTTGTTTCAACTTAAATGTTTATGCTTTTGGTTGTATTTGAATATTCAATATTTGAGAAAATCGAAATTGATATATCTACTACACCAAAACTAAAATATTTGTTTGGTTTTTATACTATTTGTCTCACTTCAATGAAGCTCTCTTATGAGCGCTTTAGTTCTCTTTATGCCTCAAGTAACATTGAGGTTTAACCTTTGACTGATTCAACTTGGGTTCTACTTGATTTACTCTATTTTTTATAGTATTGTTTGTGTTCGTTTATGTCGATGTTGTTATTCCACTCATGTTTTAAACTTCACATACAGCAACCACCTAGGTTTGTTTCTCTAGAGGATTATCATGATAATGTATGTCAAGAAAGACATTTGGTGATCTAAAATAGTTACCTAGAGCTTTACTTTTTTATACTTATTGTTTATGTGTAGATATTTCAACCCCGTTTATAAAGTGGGGATCAATTTGGCGATATTCATATCAATATATTGGCATGGCCTACCTTTAGTAGCCTTTGTTTTAAACTGTACATTTTTTATCTTGATGCTCCAACTTTAGGGTAAGTGTTAAATTTTTACTTCGTTGTTATTCTACTTTTCTATTTATGTTATTTTCTATTGTTCTACTCTATGAAGCACGTACACTCTCAATAAGGTTATGCCCCAAGTTGGACACTGACACTCCTCGTCTGATATTCTTTTATCCGTATCTATAATTAAATGATAAAATTTTAATTTCGGACACGTGTCCGACACTTCTTTAGACTATGTCTACTACTAAACAATAAATATGTATTGACATATGATTAACAAAACTTAAAATTTTGATTAATAAGTATCTGATAGTATGAGACTATTTAATTACCAAAAATAGACATGTTTTTTATTGATATCCCAACTGTTCCAGAAGATCACCACAATACTACCCTGTTCACGTACCAGACTAATATTGGACCTTGTGCAAGGCCGCCATTCCACACAAAAGGTAGATCTATGAGCAGTAACCCCAAGAGACTACGCTTCGTAGAATATTCGAACAAAATAAACATGTTGAAGTAATACTCAAAATATAATAATAATAATAATAACAAAAGATGCATAAAAATTTTAAAAAAAGAGAAATTGAAAAATAAGAGTAATCATTTAAATAATATAATTGAGTACACATTGTCTACAAAAAAAAACTAATGATTATTGACTATTATGATAATTTAGTTAAAAGATTCACACTAGATGACTAAACATAACATTTACCTATCATAGAATACTTAGTGTTTTATGAATAATGTATTATTATCACTATATTTGCAATAAATTATATAGTTTATATAGAAAGTGCAATTATCTATCGCATGTCCACAACGTGTCCGTGTACTACTTTTTTTAGAAATGTCGTGCCCACAAGTCCGAGTTAGCGTCCATGCTTCTTGGCTTCTACTTCCCTATTTTGTTCTAATTTCCCAATATTATTTTTCAGTTTGATATCAACATAATATAAATAGGTGATTGGGTGTCGGCAACACATATCTTACACACTATTGTTTCATAGTCACTTTCTTTCGCTTCCTAAACTCTTATTTTCAATTATTCAAGTTTCAACCAAAGCATTTTTGACAAAGGTGTGATCAAGCTTACACAAAGAAAGGTGAGGCGACTTCCACCAGAAGCTAGCTTAGGCGAAAGTCGCTCAAGCACACAAGTCCAAGGCATCACAGGCAGGCTGCTAAATCTGCAATTCTATTCAGTATTTTGCATATCCTATACAACATGTGCTCTCAAGGTTGCGCCTAGCCTTACATTTTACGCCCAGCCTCCAGCAGACCTTTGCACCTTGGTATGCCTTGTCCCTTCAAAAACATTGACTTATGACACACAAAAATGCTTGAACATCCAAAATCATTAATGTGCGAGCCTTGGCCAACTCCAGAAAAAGGTGAAAGCTTTTCAATGGCCTTATCTTGTTGCAAGATGAAAGCTTTTCAATGGTAGTAAACAATTTGATTCTCTCCACTGGAACATCATTATCCACCCCAAGTCTAAGAAAAAGTAGCCACGGAGAAGTCCAAAGTTCTTTCATTTAAAATGGCAATTGCCTATGTTTCCAATCACTTCAGATGTGAAGGTTAATCCAGGGATGATTAACGTCATATGTACAGCTTTGTCTTATGACGATAGACTTTGTGAACAAGGTACCTTCATGCCGCCTTGAACTTGTTCCAGCCATCAAATGAGACATACCTTGTGGGAAAAGGTAAACCATTCGATGTCAAAGGCAAACCGTTTCTGCTGTGACTTGTTGCAAAGCAGATCAGTACTTTCTGAGTAAAGAAGACCATTTAAATCCCCAAAAATCCAAGGAGAAATCATTATTCGATGAAAGGTAGACAACTCAAAAAAACACATTTTATTAGTTGTAATTAGACAAGAGTTCAGAATATATAAATTGCAGACAGAATGGTCTGAGAGATATGGCCAGGTCAAATATCAGACACAAGAGTTCTATTCGTTTTAAAAAGTTTCACCCTGTCCCCATTTTGCATTTTAATAAAACCTTTATGAGAAAGTGAATTAAAATGAAAGAACTATAAAACCCCCAGAATGTTCACAAAATAACAGAGGAATGTAACAGCACCAGCAACTACAAGGAAAGAAACTAAAACACCAGATAAACAAAGTTAACATTTTCCACATTTAGGAAAGAATGGAACACGCCAAAACAAAAGTATATTCATATAAACACACTGTGTCAACCTCTTTACTGTTCCTTGTGCTTCCATAGGTATCTACTAGGAAGAGCGGATAAAGGAATATGAGATGGATACACATACAATATGATATGGACACAGCAATATATTAAAATCTTTAAATGAAAGATACAGGCACGGTAAGAATCCACTTACAAGGACTGTATTGTAATGTTTTTTAATCTTATGATATATAGCAATCCTATTTTTTTAATTAAATTCCTTAATAATAGCATGAATGATGAGATTTCAAGCAAGCAAGAAGGACCCACTTTTCACCATTAGACCCATCCCAAAGCAATTTACAAATTCAGTATCTGTTACATATACAAGGTAGAGTCTGGAGCATTTTGGATAAAAACTATAGCCCACTTATCAACAGAACCAGTTTCTTGACTCTTGGCCAGTGGACCACTCATCAAGTAATAAGGAACAACGAATGTAGACTATGATCAAGGAACAAAATTTCGTTTCGGCACATAATTTAAGTGAGCTTGGAAACAGAAACATTTCGGTAATGTTTCGAAAGCAAGATGGAAACAAAGAATAATTTATAATTTTATTTTCAAAACATTGGTCGAAACATTCCAAAACATAGGTCGAAACATGCCAAAACATAGAAATTTTGATATTTAATCAATGATTCGTTTCGATTTCTATGGAAACAGAAACGTTTCGGACATTTTGAAACAAAATTTAGTGCCTTGACTACGATAAACGTATGGTGAATATTCATCAAAGAAAATTGGAAAAATTAGCCAATAAACTAAAAAACCTTAAGAAAAAATTAAAAAAAAAACTTTTAGAAATATAAAAGACATGCAGAAAATAAGCAATATGCTATAACTGTAATGCAGATGCAAACCGTTCTACTTGTAGGCAAAACAAGACATAGCATTTATAGGTTAGTGAATTCTACACTGACCTCTTTCTTTCTTTGAGAAGGCGCTATTAAGGACCCAAAGCGTGAATGAGCCAAATGATTTTCAGCTTGCTCCAGCTTTTCAGCTGAATGATGCAAGGGGAATATTATTAAGGGATACATGATTCGGATATTGCAAGGCTATATATTTGGCTATAGTCCAACAAGCAATTCATAATCATGACAATTGGTTACGGCAAAATACTGAAGCATTTGTAACATTAAAAAGCAACTTGCCTAGATCTGAAATTTGTCCTGCGACATAGTCCCCATTTCCAAGCAAAGGAGATGAAGAAAGGGTATTCACCCAATACTTGTTCCATAACAGATCCAAGAGGCGGCAATCAAGAGATGACTTAAAATATGTGATGTCCAATGCATAATACTGCAAAAATATAGAGAGAAAAGGTCAGCTAATGCTGTACCAGTAGTTTAAAAAAGAAGCAGATGGGTCAAGCATATAATAACCTGTTTGCAGTGCACACCAAAGTCTTCAATCTTGTTAAGAGGAATTGTCTGATACTCAGAGACAGGCTCATCTGGAGGCTTATAGTCTTCAGGGTATGTCCTAAATGCCCCAATCTCAACTTTTCCAGCAGAAACAGTCCTTGTGGGATCAATAACTACTGCCAAAAAAGGCTCCTGAAATTGCTGGTTTAGCATTTGTGTAGAAACGTCAATGCCAGAAAGCCAGCATCCGTAACCAGGATGAGANTGTCATCTGCAAACTGTAAATGAGACACTGATCTACCAAAGACAAAAATGCATCAACCAAATTACATCTCACCGCCCTCTCTATTAATCTTCTCAATCCATCCATCATTTGAAGATGGAAGTGCTAAGCATCTCTATTTTCAGTACAGCTGTGTATGGTGGATTTGGGCTTAGCTTTGTTCTAAATCCACATGGTCATTTGTTTTCTTAAAATCAAATTTCAGTAAAATGTCCTCCTCTTTCTAGTTCTATAATCTTCTATTAGCTACAAAAGCAACATTCATAATCAGCCTTTAACAAAAGCCCACTCAAACTTCAAAATTTTTTCATTCAAACACTCCTTAATCCAAAATCAAGAGAACTTTAGCTCTCATTCTATACAAACTGGTCACTAAGCTAATAGGTCCAACCATATTTCATTCAACAAACACTTCTTTATTCAATAAACACCTCTTTTTTTTCACACTTTAAACTTTTGTTTAACAAACTCCTACTTTTAACCTCCCGAAACACCATTTTATTTCGCACTTTTAACTTTTTATTTGACAAACTCCTATTTTTTCATAAACTTTTATATAACAATAATTTTTTCAAATTAGACATTGAAATTGCATTGGCACTAGATTTACTACACATCTAAATCCAATAGTGCTGTGATAATAATTTTTTCAAATTACATATTGAAATTACATTGGGACTAGATTTACTACACATCTAAATTCAATAGTGCTATGATTTATGTCTTTTTAATTTTGAAATTGAACAGTTAAATACAAAATTTTTGGTAGCTCTTACATGTCATTTTTACTAAGTTTAATGTACTAGATATATTTCATCAACTGCGACATCACGACCGATGTGTATCAATACCCGCTGATAACCGATACCGCGACCTGCTTGATATTAGAACAAATATTTGGGTGATAGGGCCCTAGGCAAGCGCCTAGGGGTTGGGCCGGCCTTGCATCTATCGAGTTGTAGTCGTCTCAGTGTTCGCTAGTCCTTTTCATCTCTATTTTCAGCCATGTTTATTACTGATTCAGTGATTTTCGGTCTAGTAATAACTGGATTAGTGTTTTTTGCTGGTTGCGTGTTTTCAACCCTGTTAGTGTCAATTTAAGTGGTTTTCTGCATAGGTTTTTTTTTTCCTTATTTAGTGATTTTCAACTCAATTCAATGTTGGTTCAGTGTTTTTAGCTTGGTTTAGTATTTCTAATCCATTTAGCGTCAATTTAGTAGTTTTCGACCCATTTGTGCTTTTTTAGAGGTTTTTCTCCCAATTCAATGTTTGTAGGCTAGTTTAATCAGTGTTATTAAAAGCGCGCCTATGCAAAAAGAGAGTTTCAAGTAGGCGAAGCAAAGCTTTACCAAAGCGAAGATTAAGCATATAAGACGAACGCTTCTCGCTTAAGCAAAAAAGCGAAAAGTGAAGAGGGGAACNACCTATGCAAAAAACGAGTTTCAAGTAGGCGAAGCAAAGCTTTACCAAAGCGAAGATTAAGCATATAAGACGAACGATTCTCGCTTAAGCAAAAAAGCGAAAAGTGAAGAGGGGAACACTTTAGTAAATTTTTTATTTGGCTTTCTGGATCCATTATTGGCCATTTGACCAATTGGACCAAAAATTGGATGTCCCATAACAGTCGATTGCCATTTAATCCATATATTTGTGTTAACCATAAAATTTCTTCTATAAAATAGATTGATCCATATATATGAATTAATTCTTCCTCAATGTTTTTCCTTGTGCTCCTCCCCTCCTCTTCTGCTATTGCTTCTTTTACTTCTAAAAAATGATTCACTGCAGAGACCAAGTGTGTGTACTTCTCTTTTTCTACTTCTTTTGTGATGGAGGTAAAGCTTTGCTTTTGTTGGCTTAATGATTCACTGTTGCTAGAGCTTTGATTTTGTTTCGGGTTTTTGCTCTTTTTCGGATATTTGATTTTGGCTTTTTTGCTACAAATGTTAGGATTTGGAATATTTTGTATTTTTTAATTTAAATGTTTATGTTTTGGTTGGCATTAAGATTTGATCTTTTATTGGTGTTTGTTGAATTTAAATGTTTATGCTTGGCTACCATAAAGATTTGAAAAATTATTAGTATTTGTTTCAACTTAAATGTTTATGCTTTTGGTTGTATTTGAATATTCAATATTTGAGAAAATCGAAATTGATATATCTACTACACCAAAACTAAAATATTTGTTTGGTTTTTATACTATTTGTCTCACTTCAATGAAGCTCTCTTATGAGCGCTTTAGTTCTCTTTATGCCTCAAGTAACATTGAGGTTTAACCTTTGACTGATTCAACTTGGGTTCTACTTGATTTACTCTATTTTTTATAGTATTGTTTGTGTTCGTTTATGTCGATGTTGTTATTCCACTCATGTTTTAAACTTCACATACAGCAACCACCTAGGTTTGTTTCTCTAGAGGATTATCATGATAATGTATGTCAAGAAAGACATTTGGTGATCTAAAATAGTTACCTAGAGCTTTACTTTTTTATACTTATTGTTTATGTGTAGATATTTCAACCCCGTTTATAAAGTGGGGATCAATTTGGCGATATTCATATCAATATATTGGCATGGCCTACCTTTAGTAGCCTTTGTTTTAAACTGTACATTTTTTATCTTGATGCTCCAACTTTAGGGTAAGTGTTAAATTTTTACTTCGTTGTTATTCTACTTTTCTATTTATGTTATTTTCTATTGTTCTACTCTATGAAGCACGTACACTCTCAATAAGGTTATGCCCCAAGTTGGACACTGACACTCCTCGTCTGATATTCTTTTATCCGTATCTATAATTAAATGATAAAATTTTAATTTCGGACACGTGTCCGACACTTCTTTAGACTATGTCTACTACTAAACAATAAATATGTATTGACATATGATTAACAAAACTTAAAATTTTGATTAATAAGTATCTGATAGTATGAGACTATTTAATTACCAAAAATAGACATGTTTTTTATTGATATCCCAACTGTTCCAGAAGATCACCACAATACTACCCTGTTCACGTACCAGACTAATATTGGACCTTGTGCAAGGCCGCCATTCCACACAAAAGGTAGATCTATGAGCAGTAACCCCAAGAGACTACGCTTCGTAGAATATTCGAACAAAATAAACATGTTGAAGTAATACTCAAAATATAATAATAATAATAATAACAAAAGATGCATAAAAATTTTAAAAAAAGAGAAATTGAAAAATAAGAGTAATCATTTAAATAATATAATTGAGTACACATTGTCTACAAAAAAAACTAATGATTATTGACTATTATGATAATTTAGTTAAAAGATTCACACTAGATGACTAAACATAACATTTACCTATCATAGAATACTTAGTGTTTTATGAATAATGTATTATTATCACTATATTTGCAATAAATTATATAGTTTATATAGAAAGTGCAATTATCTATCGCATGTCCACAACGTGTCCGTGTACTACTTTTTTTAGAAATGTCGTGCCCACAAGTCCGAGTTAGCGTCCATGCTTCTTGGCTTCTACTTCCCTATTTTGTTCTAATTTCCCAATATTATTTTTCAGTTTGATATCAACATAATATAAATAGGTGATTGGGTGTCGGCAACACATATCTTACACACTATTGTTTCATAGTCACTTTCTTTCGCTTCCTAAACTCTTATTTTCAATTATTCAAGTTTCAACCAAAGCATTTTTGACAAAGGTGTGATCAAGCTTACACAAAGAAAGGTGAGGCGACTTCCACCAGAAGCTAGCTTAGGCGAAAGTCGCTCAAGCACACAAGTCCAAGGCATCACAGGCAGGCTGCTAAATCTGCAATTCTATTCAGTATTTTGCATATCCTATACAACATGTGCTCTCAAGGTTGCGCCTAGCCTTACATTTTACGCCCAGCCTCCAGCAGACCTTTGCACCTTGGTATGCCTTGTCCCTTCAAAAACATTGACTTATGACACACAAAAATGCTTGAACATCCAAAATCATTAATGTGCGAGCCTTGGCCAACTCCAGAAAAAGGTGAAAGCTTTTCAATGGCCTTATCTTGTTGCAAGATGAAAGCTTTTCAATGGTAGTAAACAATTTGATTCTCTCCACTGGAACATCATTATCCACCCCAAGTCTAAGAAAAAGTAGCCACGGAGAAGTCCAAAGTTCTTTCATTTAAAATGGCAATTGCCTATGTTTCCAATCACTTCAGATGTGAAGGTTAATCCAGGGATGATTAACGTCATATGTACAGCTTTGTCTTATGACGATAGACTTTGTGAACAAGGTACCTTCATGCCGCCTTGAACTTGTTCCAGCCATCAAATGAGACATACCTTGTGGGAAAAGGTAAACCATTCGATGTCAAAGGCAAACCGTTTCTGCTGTGACTTGTTGCAAAGCAGATCAGTACTTTCTGAGTAAAGAAGACCATTTAAATCCCCAAAAATCCAAGGAGAAATCATTATTCGATGAAAGGTAGACAACTCAAAAAAACACATTTTATTAGTTGTAATTAGACAAGAGTTCAGAATANGGAAATCATTATTCAATGAAAGGTAGACAACTCAAAAAAAACACATTTTATTAGTTGTAATTAGACAAGAGTTCAGAATATATAAATTGCANAGAAATCATTATTCGATGAAAGGTAGACAACTCAAAAAAACACATTTTATTAGTTGTAATTAGACAAGAGTTCAGAATATATAAATTGCAGACAGAATGGTCTGAGAGATATGGCCAGGTCAAATATCAGACACAAGAGTTCTATTCGTTTTAAAAAGTTTCACCCTGTCCCCATTTTGCATTTTAATAAAACCTTTATGAGAAAGTGAATTAAAATGAAAGAACTATAAAACCCCCAGAATGTTCACAAAATAACAGAGGAATGTAACAGCACCAGCAACTACAAGGAAAGAAACTAAAACACCAGATAAACAAAGTTAACA